AATCATACTAAATCCCTCTGTGTGTGTCTATGTCCCAGTTTCTACACGTATACGTCGTATTTATTATACAAATTCTCTCTTTTTATATGTCCCAGTTCACTCACATACACGTCGTATTTATTATACTGAATCCCTCTGTGTGTTAATGTCCCAGTTTACACGTCGTATTTATTATACTGAATCCCTCTGTGTGTTAATGTCCCAGTTTACACGTCGTATTTATTATACTGAATTCCTCTCTGTGTGTTAATGTCCCAGTTTACACGTCGTATTTATTATACTAAATCCCTCTCTGTGTGTTAATGTCCCAGTTTACACGCCGTATTTATTATACTGAATCCCTCTGTGTATCAATGTCCCAGTTTACACGTCGTATTTATTATACTAAATCCCTCTCTGTGTGTTAATGTCCCAGTTTACACGCCGTATTTATTATACTGAATCCCTCTGTGTATCAATGTCCCAGTTTACACGTCGTATTTATTATACTAAATCCCTCTCTGTGTGTTAATGTCCCAGTTTACACGCCGTATTTATTATACTGAATCCCTCTGTGTATCAATGTCCCAGTTTACACGTCGTATTTATTATACTAAATCCCTCTCTGTGTCAATGTCCCAGTTTACCCACGTCGTAATTATACTAAATCCCTCTGTGTGTCTCTATGCCGCAGTTCACGCACTCAGACACACAAGACATTGAGACAATGACGGTGACACCCTGTGACGTCAACGCCCTCTCGGCCACGGCCTCTATGCAGTGGGTGTCTCCCGGAGTCTATAACATGGAGATCTCAGCCACCGCATCCAGCGGGCCCTCTGACTCCATCTCCGAGACAGTCACCGTTCTGCCTGAGGTCCCCTCGTTCGCAGCCAGTAAGTTATAATTTATTATCATCGTTAATGAGCTGCACTGTATTTATTAATGGGTCGCTTTTAAGCACAAGGGGGCTATTACGAAAAATGCTGTTTTGAGAAAATGGAAGGTAAAGTCTTTGCCCCCTTGTTCAGTTTCTTTAAAAATACAAGGAAGGTTCTATCTATATCTAAACAAATATACACTCTAATGAAATCAAACTTCTTCTATGGGTAGGGCAATGCCCATTTTTGGTGTAGGTCAAGATTTTTAGAAACCCCCGAAATCTGGGTTGGATCGCTTGTCCTTTAAAACGACCGTTTATTATCCTTAATTAGCAGCACAATAATTATTAATTGGTCGCTTTTAAGGACAATTGGGCTAACCCAGATTTCGGGGGTTTCCAGAAATGTTGATCCACACCAAAAGTGGGCATCGCCCTACCTATAAGAGAAGTTTGGTTTCATTGGTGTGTATATTTGTTTGGTTACAGAGAAAACTCCCCATGTCTTTTAAAGAAACTGAATAAGGGGCAAAATCTTTCCCTTTAATTTTCTCAAAACAGTATTTTTCGGGGTAGCCCCCCCCCCCT